CTGCGAATCTCGTTTACCTTTAGCTTAAAGAGCGGGAAAAAAGACTTTTTGCCAGTTGTTAAAAATGTAACTTATGCATTCATTGAAACACATACGAGTTAGAAACAAAATGAGCAAAAAATTATTTTATTTCGTCATCCATTTATTAAGTATTTCGCTTAGATCTAGGCCCTTCTTCTGTTCTCAATCTACCTTTGTAATTAGTACGTAGCAAACACCAAAAATCATCATATTCTTGTCCAGTGTTTCTTTTTTTCTCAAGAACGGCACTTGATATTTTCGGGGAGGGGGGGCGGACACTGGTAAAAGTATGTTTTCTATATAAATCCGTTTCATTCAAAGGGGGGGGGGGTGGAGCGGTAGACTTTCTTTGGGGGGGGGGGAAGATGCCTGGAAGTAGTGTTTCTTCCAGACTTTTTTCCCCGGGGGTGCACTTGATTTTTTTTTGGGGGGGGGGGGGGCGGACACTGTCGAAAGTATATATTTTCTTTATAAATTCCACTTTGTTCGGGGGGGGGGGGGGGCGGTGAAAAAGATGCCTGGAAGAAACTCTGCCTGGAAGAAACTGTCTGGAAGAAACTTTGTTCTTGTATTTGTTCTCTCTGAAATTGATTAATCCATCATAAAGAAGTCGCATCCCGCCTTGCCGCGCTTTGACTTACGTTGGTATCGTGGATTTTGGGGCTAATCGCTTAAAGTTTGTCAATATTTGTGAATGAGGCTGACCAGGTGAAATTTTGTTTTTCTCTGGGTCACGAGTAAACTTTTCTTCGTCAGATTCTTGTATCTTACCTTGCATCAGAAGTACGTCTTCTAGATCAGAATGAATGCTAAATCCAGAGTGGATGTACTTGAGAAAGTTGGCATTGTAGTAACTCATTCTTTTAGGGCGGCAAATAGATTGTGGGGGTGAACATGTACAACACTATTTTAGTTAACGAGTAATGTACTTATAAAGTTCATGAAGTCTAAATCGGTGTTAGAGCCAGAAAGTATTTTATTACCGGTTTACTAACAAACATTAGGTTACTCTTGTAAATTCCCTAAATCTGACATCCTCACCTACTTCTGTAATAAAGGTGATCCACCTCCTCCAAGCAAAAGTTTGAAATTAATCTGATTAATCCTGTCATAAATGAAGCTCTCGTTGTTCATGAAGCGCCGTAACTAGCATCCCTTTCTGATATTAGACACTTGCCCTAACCCCCCCCCCCCCATAAACCTCTCGTACATAAAAACCACACTGGTATATTAATCGTTTGCTTTTTATTAAGCACCTGTCAGTGTCATCAAGCCATACATATCTTGCAACATATTACAGCTCAATTAGTTGTACAAGTCCATGTAGTACTTTCAAGCCTATTTACTAGTGATTGAGACATTGTCGCCTGTGCTGGTATCCTACATTTTTAAAAGCTTGTCAGTGGGATATATCATATATACTTTGCTACAGAGGCGTAGCGACGTCACTGCTTTGCTATACTTTAATGTATGTGTTAACTATATATATGAAGATTAATAATGAACATAACTATTATTTTTTTTAACCTTCCAATACAGATGCATGAAAATATGCAATTTGCAATTCTCTTGAATTACTTTTACTAATACTAGTGTAAATCATAGTAAATGCTAGACATGTTTACTTCACTGTAAGATGAATGCCCTTCCCCCCTCCCACTACAAGAAAATTACAGGTACACAAACTGGCTACTTAAATTTATACTGTAACATGACATTGAACTACACAAAAAAAAACAAGAAGCGATAGTTTACTTGTTTAAAATTTTTATTCACATTAAAAGAATACTTTTGATGCTACAATTAAGTAATAGATCACATAGGTTACAAGTGGACAAGTAAGTAGATAGATAATAAATCAATATTATCAGATTTCAGTATGCTCAATAACTAGACAAAATGGAATCAATACATACAACCTCCACAATAAATAAAAATTTGATGGCAACAGAAAATCTCTAATCCACATCTTAATCTAACAAGTTTTTAATATTATATGACTGTGTGTAACTAGACCTTAGTTACACACACAAACATAAATATATGCATATATATAGATACACATATTTATAAACAAATACTGCGTAGCAGAATATCTCTACATGAAAGCCAACCTAGTGAAAAAATTGAATTTGCACATTCAATCGCTAAGAAATTCAGCAATAGTATCCAATACCTCTACAAAGACTCCAACTGCCAGATTATCCACAAGTTAACTAGCCCTTTTTCAGTGAGTACAGAAATGTTATAAGCTTTTCACTAATAAAGTACATAAGACCAAAAGGTTGAAATACAGTGGACCCTCACTTAGCTGGAGGTCTAGATATTGAGGATGCTATACTCTCACATTGACAACATGCCCAATTCACGCTAAGCAAACTATGATGAACCTTCTTAATATAGGCTTAATGATCAACTGGAAAAAACAGAAGAGATAAGAATCAACAACAAACAGGAGTTCAACTTAGGATACAAGAAATGACTATTTTGGAGCAGGATCGCTTCACACATCTAGGATCTGTTGTAAGAAGATGGGGGAGCAGATGAGGACATCAAAAGACATATCAGCAAAGTATCCAACATCCTCCGCACAATATGGATGTCAAGAGCTGTCTACAGTTTTCCAAATATGACTGTTGAACAGCAATGTAAAATTTGTTCTCCTCTATGGTTCTGAGACTTTCAATAATGAATGGCTGTGTAGCAAACTGAACATCAGGCGGCCTGAAAAAATAACCAACTGTGATGTTCTAACATCCATCTTGAAGAGACGCCTTAACCCTCAGGCTGGTAAATCCTGGGAAACAAAAAATACACATTTTGTAAGAAATTAAAGACAACTGTTTATTCTTTAAAGAGACGCCCTCCACCAGTTGCTGTTATACTGTAATCAAAAAACCCATAAGCACAAAACACCTGCAAAACAATGACAAGATCAGTTTACTTTATTATACTACAGGATTAATGGTACTTAAAAGTGATACTAATAATATTACTAATATCTTAATTTAGTTTACACTCTTAAATGGAATACTTAAAATTTAGAATGTAGCATAGTCCTCCACCCCACAGAAGTCACATAAAGTAAAGGGATCTGAACAATTAACTCTTAAAGTAACATACATGGTAGTACTCTAGCCACTTGAATACAGAGGGTTGTAAATCAGTTGATTGCAGTGTTCTAGAACATTGTTGGTATCTTTGTCCCTGTGTCTGTCTTATTCCTGTCTCCATGTTGAGAGAACCTGAAGATTAAAGTTTTGAAATTAGTAAAAATTTAAATAAAGTGCTTACGTCTAAGGCCCAATGGCATCGCTAGATCGGGTGTCACCCAAGTAACGAGGTTTATCTTTAGTCTGTTAATAATACAGTTGGAACTTGGATGTAGCAATGTTTTCTCTATAGTTAGTACCTTTACGACATGGTATCACCCCCACCCTCTGGTAATAATTGTCAATTTGTACTTAAAAGACTATTTAACTTTAATTAATCATTTATGGGACTGGCAAAACAACATTTTTCTTCTGTATATTTTGCAATTTTTTGCCTTGGTGTCACCCCCTTGGCTTAAATAGTTATAGTGATAGTGTCATCTGGTGCAGTCTGCACCCCCCACCCGTGCTATGCCAGCTAAGGCAAGGGTTATCAATAAAAATGTTATAAATTAAAAAAAATATTAATAAATTAATAATAAGCCTAATTAGGTAATTATTACTAATATTAGTAATTAATTATTAATAATGTAATATTATATTAATTATGATAAATTATAGGCCTAATAAATAATTACTAATTATAAATTAATAATTAAATACGCTCAACTGGAGGTGAACGTGAAACGGGGAATAAAATACGTTAAAATAGAGTTTTACCCCTTCTAGATGTAGATCTAATTATTGTGTAATTTACTAATCAGTGCCAAGATCTATTTTATTTTCTACAAAAAGATCTTGATATTTCCCACCAAATCGATTTAGGGGTATTATGTTTTCTGTTGGATCTAGTTTCGGTATCGTAAATTATTTAAGTAAAATAAACAACGATCCTAGCTGTTCGACTACTTAAAAATATTTCAGCGGGATTTTCGACAGTACGGCCAAGTTTAAAATATCTGTACTTTCGTTTCGACACTACGGGCTAATCCCGGAAGTTAGGAGCGTCGTAGACTGAAATACCTAGAGATTTGAGAAGGAAGTGAAATCGACTGGATCAATAAGAAAATTTTAGGTCTAATTAAGATCAGGGAGGGACCGAACGTTGTCTAGACGTTTTGGGTGTCGCTGAGTACACAAATCAACTAGACGTTCTAATTTGCTTCAGTCATAAGGTAATGAAATATGTATAGACGAATACAAACTTTTTTATATAAACATCGGTCGCTTATGTAATATTTAAACACTTCAATTTGCTATCCATTCTGTCGATCGGTCAGTCGGTCAGATGGACAAAAGGACAGTCTTATGCTTTCTAAAGGATAACATAATTTCAATTTAACAATTTTTGTTCTCTTATCATGTTTGAGGTGAGGTATTTAAGCGGGATGGCAGGAGGTATTGAAAGGGATTTTGTATGGTCATAAAGTAGTGGGGCGCTGCATGGGATTTTGTATGATCTTAAAGTATTTAGTGGGGCGCTGAATGGGGTTTGTGATGGGCAGAAGTGCTGGACATTGCTTTGAGCGAAACACTTGCCTTGTAGTTTGCTCTATACTTTTTTTCCACTATATATATATATATATATATATATATATATATATTTATATAGATATATATATATATATACAGGGAACATAGCACTTTTAATTTTTGGATTTTCTGGTTTCGCCCCCCCCCCCCCTGCGCGCGGTAACCTCTGAGGCGAAGCAGGGGTATACGCGCAGCGCGGTGCGCTGAATGAATAAAATGATTCACCGTGGCGGAGCACGGGTATGCAGCTAGTATATGTATACAGGGACCATAGCACTGGTTTTGCCCCCCCCCTCCCTACTCCCAGCTCCATACGTGATTTTTGGGACTCTCAGAATTTTCCAGCCGAAAATAAGAAATCAAGTGATTAATTTGCTTGCCGAGCTTTTGACAATATTTAAACACTCTTAGTTTCTATTCGTAGTGTAAATCCTTTTCTTTGTAGACAAATAACGGAATACACTACACACGTATAATAAAAAGCCAAACCGGATTTGAAGCAATCGGTATTGATTGCTGGTATTGATAATACAGTTTGAACGAACTCATAAGCATATTAAATAACCACAGATACCCAAGAGGCTTATGTTTAGTAAATAGACTAAATACACGGAAGTTTAAGAAAGATTTTAAAATTTCCGAGTCTATAAAATGATGTTTCGGTTATTTAAAGCCTGCAGTTTAAGTTTAAAAACAGATTTACAACTAGTTCCATTTGGTGAGACCTTTCGATGGTAATGAGGTGAGCTTATGTAGTGTTATTGACAACGGTTTGAATTGGGGATAATCTTATTTTATTAATTGCAAATATTTTAAAAAACTTATATTCATTTATAACTGTGATAAAATAATAAGTTTTGTGTTTACTTACTCAAAAATGTAAACTAGTAATTGAAAAAGGAACTTAATTTCATTTCTACATAAGGGTTATTACTTTTAGAATTATTTCGTAAACCACTATTTGGCTTTTTGTCTACTGCACCCAAACTATATAGTAACAATTTTAAGAGTTGCTTTTTTAAAAATACTTTTACTACAGTCAGTAAAACAAAGGAGATTTTGTGACATCAATATTTATTAAGACTCTCTTTGTGTTTTATACTCTAAATAACAAACAACTTGACAGTTTAACATAAAAGTATCTTCTTTTAAAACATTATTATTGAATGCTTTAAGCGAAATTCAACCAGTTAAAATGCATTTATTATAACTGTGAGGGCGAAAGAAATATCGTACATTCAGGTATATGTAAATACCAACAAACTGGTAGAGGTTAGGCACAACAGTCTGTTTTATCCAATGAATTATTTCCTTGCCCATTCACATTACATCCTTTTTCTTTCTACTCCAACCTTCAACTGCCCTCCGCATTGATTCCTACACACCTCCTTTCTCTCGCTCGTAACACAACTGCTGTCACTCGACCAGTCGCTTCCCTTGTACCCTCGTTCACTCCGTACAACAACATACACGTCGACACACCCGGCCTTGCGTATCGCTACAGGATATATATACACACGCAGTGATCTGTCCCACGCGTACACCTTTCATACACATTACATTACCACAATAACATAGGTGCTATAAAAAATCTAGTCTGTGCAAAATAGTTATAGCTTTTAAAAAAAATATCTCTTAAAGACAATCTCTTTATAGTAATAGCGTTAAATCATTTTAAAGACTATTTAATTTAATACATTAGAATAATAGTTATTTAAAAAATTGTATTTTAAATTTCAGTGTTGATTACAGAATACACAACATGAGCATAGGCAACAGATATATTTTCCAAAGTTTAATTTGTCTGCTCGTTGGATTATTTGACAACTTCAACTGTTGTCGAGTTTGGACAGGGCAGACAGAAGTCCAAACTTTTGAAAAGCCATCACCGTGCCAGGTCGCTTACAGTAAAGATGATGTTGTCGTCGACTGTCAATATCGGTCATTGACCTATGTTGACCTCAGCTGGTTCCCTCTAAACACGACGGCCATTTTGTTGGACTATAATGGGTTCACGGAAATTCCCGAGAGCTTGTCTCAACTCGGTAATCTCCGACGTCTAAGTCTGTCAAACAATCAAATAAAAAACGTCAGCTCTATCAATGTTACATGGTTGTACAACTTGCTGTATTTAAATTTAGAAATGAACGGTCTGGAGTTATCTAACATGATGATTGAAACAAATTCTTCTAGTCTAGGAATTCGAGAACTTTTGCTAATGCAACAAATGAACGGAAGGAAAGATTTTAATGTTGGAACTTTAGTTCGCCATCTTCACAACTTAACAAGACTGACCATAGATATATACGGGGAGGAGTTAATTTTTGATGATAATTTCAAAAATTTAACCAACTTTAGATCGATAAAAATAACTGGAACAATTCACAAGATAACCAATACAAGTTTCGAGAATTTACCAGAACTCCGTGACTTAGAACTTTACTACCTTACAGAAATAAAATATTTTAGTGTCAACGCTTTTGCGCCTCTAGTTTGTTTAGAAAATCTTTCCATCACTTTTGTTCGATTAGGACTTCAGAAAATCATGGCCACATTTCTTCCCTTAGCAGGTAAAAACATGTCGTCAATTTATTTGGAGAGAGTGCAGCTCACAACTAATGAAAAATATACGAGCATGATGACAAAAGATGGAATCATTACCGCCTACACAACGCGGTATTTGCGTCAGATATGTCTCAGAGAGATCACAATGACAGATTGCTCAATCCTTATGGTCACCTATAACGCTTTCAAAGGCGATACACTTGGTGAGTGCCTCGTTTCTGCCGATATGACAAGAAACCCTATCTTTGGAACGGGCCTCGCGTTTCTTGTTATTGCTAACATGAAAAAAATCGAAACGCTTTTCTTAGGTGACTATGAAAAATCTCAGACTAGCGTCGATACTCTTGCATTTGATGTTTTACCTCCTATACGCCGATCATGGGGAGAGAGATTCAAAGAACCTGATTCACCTTCGGAAATCAACAGGAATTACGAAAATAGGAAATATTTCAAAGAGAAACTTGCAGGTTACAATGAATTAGAATTGACATTTAATAACACTTCTGCAGAAAAAGAATGGCTTCATAAAAATGGGGAGATTCAGATTTATATTTCAGACTCCATGCGATATTTTGGATTTTCAAGAGCAGGAAGATCAATTTATTTTAACAAAAAATTTAGACTAATAGGTGGAGAAAATCTGTATTTTATTGACGCAAGTGACAGCGGGTGCCATAGTTTTACAGGAAATGTAAGTGGTTTAATGGCACTTCGAATTTTAATATTTTCCGGTAACGATTTGTCTGATATGTATGACACTTTTTTCGATTCGGTTTTAACAATTGAAATCTTAATTCTTTCAAATTGCAACTTTAATAGTGCTATTGAATCAAAAAGTGGAATAAAAGGTTTACAAAAATTAAAACATCTTACTACATTAGATTTGTCAGAAAATTCGTTAGATGTTTTAGACCCAAACATATTCCAGCAGAATAATCTAACCCACCTTGTACTAGCATCCAATCGTTTTAGGAGTTTTCCATTCGATATCAGAACCACGCCAAATCTACAATATCTGGATCTTAGATTTAACGCTCTAATTTCTATTCAATCTTCTGTTTTAAAAGAAATAGATCACCTTGCCAGTGGATCTAGTGGATTTCAACTTCTCTTAAAAGGCAATATACTCGCGTGTGGCTGTCACAATATAAATTTTCTCACTTGGATTCATCAGACAGAAACCAAGTTGGACTTGAATAGAAACTACTCGTGCATTGATGAAACAGGATCGTTGACTTACACAGCAGCCATTACAGATATGGAGGCGTTTTGGAGGGCGTGTTGGGGAAGTTTTGCCCTTTCCATTTCAATGATTTTGTTTTGTTTACTTGTCATTGGATTTGTGTTGTGCTTTTTTGTTACCAAATATAAAACTTACATCATTTCTGGATTGCTGAATATGTTTAATGAAACCTATCTAAAGAAACCTTCCAACTACGAGATTGGTGTCTTCATTGGTTATGCTGATAGAGATTACCAGTTTGCTTGTCATGACCTCAGGCAGTTTATCGAGGACACGCTGGGGTTAAGGACGTTTGTCCGTGACCGTGACCTTTCACCTACAATAGATCTTGCCTCTGGCATTACTGAAGCCATAGAGTCCAGTTGGAGAATCCTTCTGGTCATCAACGAGACGTTTCTTACCTCTGACGACTGGTTCCTGTTTACCTGTAGATCGGCCATTTATTCCACGTCACCTGGAAATCCCAACCGAGTTGTCGTCCTTGTTGAAGAGCGGTTACGTCACCGTCTACCGCGTGACCTACTTGCAGGTGTATCAGAAGAGAATATAATTTTTATGTCAGGACCAGAGCTGGACTACCTGCTGAAGGAAAGCATCAGAACTCGTCTTGTTGTTTGATAAATTATATTACAAAAAATTGTAACACCAAACAATTATTTTTTCATAGTTTTTATGTTTATAATAAAATATATTATTTAATATAGGCAGGCTTATATATATATATGTATATATATGTATATATATATATATATATATATATATATATATATATATATATATATATATATATATATATATGCATATATATTTTTATAATTATGATGCATGTGTTCTCTTTTCTGTTTTTTTTTTAAATTAATAAAAAGTTTAAACGTGTTTTAACTCTTTTATGCTTGGTCTTTTTACAGTATTTTTATTTTTAAAGCCAGCCGAACGATCTTGTTCTTGCTTGTGTCAGTGGAATAGTTCCAATATCGATTTTAATTAATCACGTAATCAACTATTTGTGGATAACCTTGCCTAACTTAAAGACAGATTAAAACTACTTCATATGCTTTAACGATCAGAATACAATTGTATGACTGTCTTTTTTCGTGAATTTTAATATTTATTACAAGAAAATAAAATAAGAACTCAAATCGAACTCGATAGAAATATCAATGAAGTCAATGCCAATTATATAAAACAGATGCTCAAAGTAGTCACTACAGCTAACCTAAAAGTCTCGAGTTCGAATTTCCCCTTGATTCTGTAGTGCGTCCCTGCGTCTAACCAGTTCCGATGAGTAAATTACTCACGTTAGGGAAACACAAACGGCTTGGCCTAGTATTAACCACACTATCCCCTATATGTCGAGGTCAACAGATGCACGATACTTCATTCTGGCACTAGCGTCTTTGACATGAAAGGGGAAATATATCGATTGCTTGTGTTAAGGGAAATAATGCAAATAACTATCAGCAAAAGTACTACTAAATGTTATCTTTCCTTGAAGGATTTTCATAAAAAGTGAATAACCTGTAGACACACATCAATAAACCTTGAGACAATTTACCAGTTGTGTTAATTGGCATAATTTCAGCTAAACTTAACATAACGTGGGGCTAATTAAGGTGTTCGCCCCTGGCGCATGGAGGGGTTGCTACGCCTCTGGTACTGTCCAGTTAAGGTTTAAACCACCCTATATTTTAGATCGGGTTTAGTGAGATCGAATCTGATGCTAGTAGATAGAAATAAATTTGTAAATTAAATCAACACAGTGGTGTTAGACAAATCAATGTCCCCCAGTTTGAGATTAGCCATAAAATCACGTTAAAAGCCCATGTTTGCCAAGAAGCACCTGCATTTCGTTATGAGTACTTTACTAGGCCACAATAACTAGCAGCTTAGGGTGAGTTTGTCATCTCGCTTGGTTAAGGTCTGGTCATTATATGAGTCATGGAAAAAAATTAATTACAAACATTTTAATAACAAGCTTTTATGTAATAATGCACTAAAAAGCAGAACATAAATTATACACTACCATTTAAATAACTATGAAAAAGAAAAGCGTGGGTCACTTTAATATCTATTGGATACCTTACTAATATTTAGGAAGAGACCGACGCTTTTCTTTATAGTTATTAAAATATTAGTGTATAATTTATTTTCTATTTTTATTGCTTTATTACATAAAAGCTTGTTATTATAACGTTTTTTATGAATTTTTTTTTCATTACCTAATTTTTAAAAATTTACAATAGAGTTACAAGAATAAAAACCATAGCCCACCTAATGAACGTGATGACGCATATATAATAGTGCGGAGTTGTTGGATGAGACATCCTACTAACTTGAACAACAGTTTAATTAACTCATAAAAAAATAATTAGGCAACCAATTAAGTCAAATTTAATGTCATGTTGAATTGTCTTCATGTCTTGACTCGCGTACCAACAACGAACCGTATCTGTCATTTTGAAGTGCCTGTAATTTTGTTCGAGCGTTTCGATCTAGACTGACGACAAACTGACGACAGACAAAGGAAAAGAGTTAAATAAAAGCTTGTAATAAAAGCTTCTAACTAGGTCTTTTCAAGTTAATGTCTGTACAAGCTAGTGCAGTCTAACATGAAAACTTCATTAAATTTTTTTAATAACAAGTTGTTATGTAATAATGCACAAAAAAGTAGAAAATAAGTTATACACTACTATTAACATATCTATAAAGAAAAGCATTAGTATCTATTAAATACCTTTTCTAACATTTAGGAAGAGACCTACGCTTTTCTTTATAGTTATTTAAATAGTTGTGTATAATTTATTTTCTACTTTTTAGTGCATTATTACATAAAATCTTGTAACGTTTTTCTAAAAATTTTTTTTTTAGTAATTTACATGTTTTATTTACACTAGAGTTGAATGACTAAAAACCATTGCGCACCTATTCAACGTGCTGACGCGTGTCTAATAGTGCGGACTAGTTTGACAGTCTGCTAATTTGGACAACATTTTAATTAATTTATAAAAAATTAATCAGGCAACCAATTAAGTCAAATTTAATGTCATGTTGCATGTAGGGGTTGACCCACGAGCCAACGTTGAAGCAAATCTGTCAGTTAGTGTAACAACATCAACTTCATTGTTGTTATTGTGGGTACGTTGAATAAACTCACACGAGCAATAGTAGTAGCTTCAACTATAACTTTATTTACACTTTATACAGAGAATTAATAGATCCATAGTAAATCCATAGTCACAACTGGTATAAGTACAATCACAGTCACGAATCAAAGTGACATAGTGACATCCTACATTCACAGTCACAGTCCAAGCGCAAGCACCCCGTTCACCTTTCGCTCTACCTTTTATACGGTCCATTCTCTCCCCTTACGTACATGAGCGATCTCACCCAAAAGCATGGGAAAATACATGACGAGTCGCTCAGACAGTCCTTCCGCTAGCCAGGTAATCTACATTCATGCAACTTCGTGTAAAACACAATATAATAAAGATACTTAATAATACAGTCTGTGACACGTCCCCCCTTCAAATAAAATTTTGTGTAACAAAACTTATAAATACAATATTGGTAGGGCAGGATCATGTACAACAAAAAATTGTGTACAACTCAAAGTAGAGTAAAATATATTCTTTTTAGACTAAACACTTGTAGTCATAAATTTATAGTGCATAAAAATACAACAGTATGTAGTGACTATATCACTGATAATTAAAATATGTCAGTGTTTTGAACAAACACTTTACATGTACAAGCATTATATGTAATATTTAATGCATCAATTTACATTCACATAGGAGAAAAAACATTTCAATTACCCAGTAACTGTAGTATAAAAAAACTACATCAGTTGGGATAAATAATATACCAAACAAATTTGGTACAGGACTTAATTTCAAAACATAACACATAGTTAAAATACTTAAAGACTTAATTCAACTCATGAATTAAATAATTATATCCTATGTAGTAAAAAACAACCTTATCATCAAGGCATGTTATTACCACGCATGAGTAATATACTTTGTTGTCTCCCCTAGTCGACCCATTTCAGTCATATCTAGGTCACAACACAACAACATTCTTGCCTTTCACAGGTATTGACTAATACCAGTAATCTAATTGACTAATACACAATTCATCATTGAGACTTCCGTCTTATTGTTATGCGGAATAAATAGTCTCTAACTTTTACTTTATACATTATTCCCTGTTAATTAATAGTATAGAATAGGTTTAACATAATACAGTTTACATTCTTTAGATATAGTACACAATTTATGTTTACTTAAACACATTATTTGATATTTATATATTACAGTTACAGACTGTATAATATTAATAAACTGTCAACTGATAATTTAATCTTAGCATCCTTGTTTAACTCTATAGCATGAGTAATCGTTCTCGTGCAGTTGACGATGACCTGTATGCCATCTCTCCCTCAAATTGTAGCTTTTAGCTGTGCTACCATAATGATTTCCTATATATCGTGTAACTTGTGTTACTTCATTTGTTTTAATATTCTTCTCTGGTTTCTGAACAACGTCAGTAGCTATCTTACTTTGTGTACGTTCGTTTGGTTCATCAACCAACTTAATATAAATATTATGGCAATGCTTTGGCCGCTCATAATACATCTTGCTTCGGTATCTTTCATTAGAACTTGATACATTATTTCTTAAATTACTGTATTTCTCACCTGACTTTCTTTGTTCATAATTGTTTCTTCTCTGATTTGCCAACCTATGCCAACATTGATCTTGGTAATGACCTGTTTTCCCGCAGTAAAAATATCTAGATTTTGGCTTCTTATAAACATGGTGACTGTATTCATAGTTTGCTAAATTTCTTTTACTTTCATTCTGTGCATTAATGACATTAATGACATTTTTATTAACATGGTGACTGTATTCATAGTTTGATACGTTTCTTTTACTGTCAGTTTGTAATTTATTGACATTGTAGTTTGTTGATATTGTTTCATCTTTCTTAACTTCCTTGTGCTTCTTTATTGATTCTAGTTCACACATAAATTTCTGGGTTAATTTCTCCATTTCTTTGTTAAATTTATTCTTGAGTTCTAGTATATCTTCTTTATAGTTTGACTCCAACTTTCGAAGTAAATCTTCAATAGGTACGTTTTCTTCATTGTGGCTTATTAAGTTCACTGATTCATTAATCATCATTAGTTTATCATGATTCCTGCCATTCTCCGATGGACTTATTAAATCATCACTACCATTGACTGATGGGCTTATTAAATCATTTTGACTACCATTCTCTGATGGACTTGTTTCTTGTTGACTGCCATTCTCTGATGGACTTACGATACAACTTTCAATAATATTCTCGTGTACCTGCGTTTGAGTCAATAAAGAGTCAAGCTTAAGACATTCTAATGTATCTGTCACCTTTAAATCATTATTAAGTTCACCCTCTGTTTTATCCTTGGGTTTCAATTCTTCCTGGACTATGTTACTCTGTTCTTCATTCCAAAGGTTGCCAATATTTACTTCTTCAAGTTCTGCTTTAAATTCTGTCTGTTCACTTTCTAATTTTGGTTCATTTGTGTCTGTTATAGCTTTCATTTCTAATAGTTCTTGTTCATATGCTAGTTCATGTAGGCC